TTTAAGGATATAAAACTGCAGTTGGACAAGAGGCATAGACTCTGTGAAGTCCTGAGGTCTACTGAGAACATGATAAACATGGTTGATAACAATATGCTATATTTTAAAAGTTGTGAGATAGTATACTTTAAGTGTTCTCAAAACAAAAATGATGAATGTGTGATATAACAAGTTAATTGGTTTAATTTAGCCATGCCATTGTGAACATACTGTATTGTGTATCATAATTGTGCATGACTTTATGAGCTAAATAAATGAATGGAAGAAAAAAAAAAGAAAACTCAGGATGCTGAGATCTGCATAGGCTTAACAAAAGCAAATAATTAAATGAATGTGTCACAGACTGGATGGCTGCCAACCTCTGTGTTAAGTGTTACAAAAAATCCACACCACTTTAGGTGAAAGGATGGACAAACTTAAATGACATCATACATCAAATGGACCTTTGCAGATATCTATAAGACAGTCTACCCAAACATCAAACGAACTACACTCTACTAAGCAGCCCATGGGGCCATCTCTAAAAGAAATGATATCTTGGGACACAAAACAAATCTTTATAGATTCAGAGAGATTCCAATAACTCTATGTATCCTATCTAACCATAATGCAATAAAATGAAATCAACAGCAAAAAAAAAGAAAAGAAAAGAAAGAGCTTTATCATTGTGAACATTGTGAAATCACTGTATTAATACCCAATGGGAGTGGTAATACAAGTCTCCTAAAGAAACTCAAGTCTGACTGGTTTATAAAGGTGAATAAAGTAGAAAAATGTCATTAAAAAGAATATTCCTAAAATTCCAAGAAAAGAAAAGAAATTAACTTCTTATCACTTTTTTAAACTTGAAAAGAAAAAACTCATTCCAGGTAAGTTGTGAACATTTTGAGCTAAGCTCACACAATTGAGTAAAATCTTTCATGAGATTGATTTATTCACTTTGGTTTCTGAAGGAAGTGCATTTTTTTCTTAGCAAGATTAAATATTATATAAACACATATTAAATAAGATAAAATCATTCCTTCATGTTTAAGAGTTATGAACATGTATCTTCATTAATTTACACTGAATCATTACTCAACAATATATTTATAAATACACCATTTTGAAAATAATTCTAAAACAATTTCAGCTAACCTAAAACAGTAAACAGTGCTTGGGAGTACAACATCTCTCAGAGACTACAAGATAGCCCAGTAGGTCAGGTATTTGTCCCTGAGCCTGAGAGCTTGAGTTTCATCTGGAATACTGTGGAAGAAGAGAACCAACTTCTGCAAGAAGTCCTCTGACCTTCATACATTTGCCATGGCATGTTGTGCATATACACATACATAAGTGTACACATGTGAGCGTGAGTGCATGCACGCACACACACATAAATAACTGTTTAAAAATATCGCTCATTATTACAACTAATTTCTCATTTCTCTGTCTCAACACTGACATTCAAACTGAAATAGAATTACTAAACTAAGAGAATAAAGGTTGAGGGAAAGTAAAGCACAAAAGTAGACATCAAGATGACCATACCAATTATTTCCAGTCTCATATTAAAGGTACTTCAAGACAACAAAAACAAAACAAAAAAGTATTTTAAGAACAAAATAATTTGGAGAATGGAAGAGAAAATGTTTTTCTCATGAGTATTATAAAGGACAGAATTTGATTTTCAAGCTCCCTCCAACCCTGAAACACTTTAAATTTTATGAATATGGGAAGACTCTTCAGTAGATAAGAAATGAGATGCCAGAAACACAAAGTCATCAAGAGTTCACATTGTCTTCTCTTTTAAGACTGGGTCTGCTATTCGGCCAGGGAGGCCTCCAACTCAAAAACCACATGCCTGAGCTTCATGAAAGCTGGGATTTCACATCTATACAGAGTGAAGAATTACCTTTCAACACAGTAACAGTGCTAAACACATGGGTTACCTTTAAGGCTTACTACTTTTCTAAGAAAACAAAAATATATACACTTTTGCTGAAATACGTTTTAGCTAAGTAGTATTAAACTAATACCTGTTATATTCAACTTTTATGAGATAAAGGAATATTTCTATATACTTTATACCAAAACTAAGTCATAGTTATCTATAAAAGATTTACAGAAAAATATTTATAGAAAACAATGGTTTTTTAAAAAATTAATGATTTTTAGAACTGAAAATGACAAAATAATTGTATTAAAATAGGTTACCTATGTTTCGTAGAATCTCAACAAGTTTTTCTCTTTTTGAATACTGGCCAACCTGAAGAACAGCCTGCTGAACATCTCTGCAAGCTCCTCCCACTTGTCCAACAGCAACAAACAAATAATTTGACTTTAAAAACTCTCCAGCCAACCTTAAAAAAGAAAATATTACTCCTTAGCTTACCCTTGTCCACGTGTGCTCATATTTCAGTCCTGTGAATGTAATTTTATATTAACTAGACATCAACACAAATAGTGGTAAGACTTATGCCACCCAAGTATTATTTTCAAAGATCAGGGTAAAATATACAATTAGTAACAAAAACATTTGTGTCAAACTATGGACACAAGAAGTTCCAGTGAATTTTCTGTTGATGCAAAATTATATAAAATGTGTACATAACAATAAAAATGTGAACTACAATGCTGACTACTAACAAGAAGAGTTTTTTAAATTAAAAATGGAACTGTAAGGGTATCTGGGGATACAGCTCAATTGGTAGAGTGCTCCTTTAACATGTACAAAGCCCTGGGTTTGATTACCAGCACCACATATAAACCAGGTTGTGGTGGTGCATGCCTGTAATCTCAGCACTCCAGAGGTAGAGGCAGGAAATTCAAGATCACCCTTAGCTACACAGCAAGCTTGAGGCCAGTGTGGGCTATATGAGCCCCTGTGTCACAAGAGGGAGGGAAGAGGCGAGAGGAGGTGAAGAGAGGGAGGGATGGAAGAGGAAGGGATGGATTGAAATGTAAACCTTAAAGTACAAATTCTATTATAATCTCAATACTTATGAATACTTGATATTGCTCAGATTTGTTTTCTGAAATATTACTTGTTAAGTTACTCTTCTTTAAATAAATGATTATGAGTAAACCAGATTACAGGAATGTCTTTCATGTCACAATACATATAAAAATGAAACCTAAGGGCCATGAAAATGAGGTTGTGTAAGGCTGCTCCCAAATTTGACACACAATAATTTACAAAGCATGCACTTGAAAGGCAATGCTTTACATCCTCCACAAACACAGCTCTGTGGGGACACTGCCAATTAAGGTAGCTGAGCTTCTAGGGTTAAAAAGGGAGAGCTGACCTGAACACGGGGAGCTCATGGGCCCCAAATTGATAGCTGGGAAACCAGCATAGGACTGTTCCAGGCCCCCTGAATGAGGAGGTCAGTTTGGAGGCCTGGGTAATCTATGGGGCTACTGGTAGTAGATCAGTATTTACCCCTAATATCCTAATGGACTTTGGGAGCCCATTCCACATAGAGGAATACTCTCTCAGCCTAGACACACTGCAGAGGGTCTAGGCCCTGCTCCAAACGATATGACAGACTTTGAAGATCCCCCGTGGAAGGCCTCACCCTCTGTGGGGAGCAGAAAGGGGATGGGACAGGAGGTAGGTGGGGGGCAGGGGAGAAGGGAAGGAGAGGGAACTGAGACTGACATGTAAAAGCAGCTTGTTTCTAATTTAAATAAATTATTTTCAAAAGAAAAAGAAGGGCGAGCACAAGTTTTTGGCCAATTCTACCCTCTTATGTAGGTGGTAGTCCCTTAGTTTCTAGTTGTTTCCTTGAATGTAACAAAATAGCTCAGGTTCAACATATCCAGAATCTAGGTAAGTTACTTCTTTTTCTTGCTCCTTATCTATTCTCTTGCCATAAAAATGTAATTTTTCTTAGTTTCCTCCAATTTTTAAAAAAATATTTAAAATATTATATCAATTCCCCTCTTCCCTTTCCTCCCTCCAAGTCCCCTACCTTGCTGCCTTGTAAATTTATGGCCTCTTTTTAATTGTTACATAATGCAAATTTTCCTAAATTCAACCGAATCGGTCTATGTGATACTACTTTTCTGCCTATGTTTTCAGAAGGTTGTTTTTAATATGCCTCCTTCAAGAATTAATACCCTCTTATCCCAGGCAACTGAAATTCTTAGTTTCTGTTACCCCTGTACTTCCTTAAGCAATCCTGGTACATAGCACAAAGATAACTACATGGATACCAGCCTCAAATAGGACAAAGTTATATTACAGTTTTTAAATTCAGTATCAGAATAGTTACCATTTACTGCACAGATATCAAACCCCAAGAAATGCGCAATGCTTTCTACAGTGTCTTCCATGACAGACATGAGCAGGAAATGGATGAAATGAAATCTATGTAGAAGAGCCTTTAAAACTTTTAGGCTTGATCATAGGAGGAGCAAGGAAAGAAACTTAAGTTTGAATAATTTTTAAGTAATTGTCATTATGAATACTTCTCAAAGACAGAAAATTAAAGGAATGCAAAGGAAGAATTACCATGATTCAAAGTATTTTGGCTTTAAAAGACTATGATACATTAATCCAAATAAGAAAAAACAGAATTAAAGTGGAAAGTAGGTTCAATTTTGGACCTCAACAAGAGTCACTACTAACTTGTTTATAAGAAAAAATTACTCCATCAAAATTAAATATAAAGCCTGCAGCTGACATAAGAAAACACTGAGGGGAAAAAGACCCTCAACAAATGGTGCTGGGAAAACGGGATAGTCAGCCACATGTAGAGCACTGAAATTAGACATGCATCTCACCTTGAACAGAAATCAATCAACACAATCAAAGACCTAAAACTCTGAAACTACCAGAAGAAAGGCAAAGAACTCAAGATACTGGTACAAGCAACAAAACAACTTCCAAAATACGACTCCAATATCCCAGGGAACAAAACTAAGGACTGGTAAATGATTGGAATTGCATTAAAGAGCTGCTGCACAGCAAAGGAGCAATCAACAGAATAAAGAGCTAACACAGAGAATGAGAGAAAAGACTACAACTATTCATTTGATAAAAATAATACTCAGAATTTAAAAGAACTCAGTCATAATACCAAAAGAACAAGTAATCCCATCAAAACATGGGCAAATAAGCAGGTACTTTTGAGAAGTAACAATAGCTAATAAAATATGAAAATGGAAAGTATCTTTAGACATCATGGAATTTAAAAAACCAACTAACAACAAATGCTGGCAAGACTGTGGTGGTGGTGGGGGAACCCTATCACTGTTCATTAGAATGTAAGCAGCACAGCCACCATGGAAAACAGTACACAGTACTCAAAAAAGCATCACACATGGGTATTTATCTGCAAAGTGAAGTCAGCATTCAAAAGAGATACCTGAATACCCATGTTTGTTTAGTGTTGAATTAACAGTACCCACTATCTGGAATCAGCTGGGTTTTTAAAGTATGACACATAACACAATATAATAGTACCAAACATAAAAATCAAATAATGTCATTTGCAGGAAAATGGACAGAACTGTTAAGCAAAATAAGTCAGATGGAGAAATGCAGGCATCTCATGTAGCTTTTTGTATATGTGCAAAGTTAAAATTAAAAAGGGCTCCATAGGAAGCAGGAACAAGAGGGTCACTGGGGCCTATTGGCTACCAGCCTGGCTCTAAGTTCAATAGGAAAATCTAAGGATCTGAGTTCAGATCTCCAGCATCCATGTCAAAATCTGGCCACAGCAGCATGAATCTGTAATTCCAGATGTGGTGGCAGTAAGAGAAGCTGTCTTAAACCATAAAATGGAAAGCAACAGAGAAAGATACTCATCTCTGATCTCAACATGCATGCCCACATGGCACCTATCTATACAAACATACTTGTATATAACACACACTTGAGAAGTTAAAAAATTAAATTATAAAAAAGGACTAGACAGAGAATGGGCAACAGGTAAAATTTTAAAGTGTGCAATGAATACTTAGAGTGATAATGCTCCCTTCAAAAACAACAAATTACCTAAGGACCCCCCTTCCCCCATGTGCCCAGTTCTAGTATGAAAAACCTCCTTTTGAACTGTTTGTCAGTGGAGTCCCAGAAATGCACAAAACAGTATAGGCTATTACTGTTGCTCTTGGTTGCCTCCCAGAATTGAAGTTAAGTCGCTATGGCTAAAGACATCAACTTCAAACATGGGACATGTGAAAAATCAAGCTAGATACGACCTGGAAACCTCCTCCCTAAGGACTAACTTTCACAGGCAAGGTGCTATGCAAGCTGTCACAGGAGAAAAGAAAAAAAAAAACACTGTAGTGGTTTGAACAAGAATGGTCCCCATAAGCTCATCAATTTGGATGCTTGGTTCCCAGTTAGTAGAGCTGTTTGGGAAGGACTATTGTTGGAATAGGTGTGGCCTTGTTGCAAGAGGTACATTACTTAGGGTGGGCTTTGAGGTTTCAAAAGCTCATACCAGGCCCAGTCTCAACTCTGTCTCTCTCTGACTCCTGCTTACACACATCAGGATATAAAGCCCTTAGCTACTGCTTCAGCATCATGCCTGCCTTCCAGCCATCACCCACTCCACCATGATGGTCATGGACTAACCCTCTGAAACTGTAAGCAAGCACCCCAATTAAATGCTTTCTTTAAAAGTTGGCTTGTCACAGTGTTTCAACACAGCAATAGAATGGCAACTAAGATAGAAATTCAGAGAGTGCGTATTGCTTGTTGGTGGAATGTAAACTTCAGGAATTTGAATTAGGTAATCAACTGACTGTTGTTAAGTGGAAACATGGAAAACTATAGTGCTTCCAGCAGTGTGGTAGTGGAGGCCCAGCTCAAGAGGTTTCAAACAATAGCAACTGTCCTAGAGACAATTCCTGTGATACTTTGGCAAAATAAATGTGTTTTCATTTTGCTCTTCTCCAAAAAAATTACCAGAGGAAATTTCAAGACAGCCTAGTATTGCCTGTTATTAGTGATCACTCTTATGGAGATCTACAATGAAAGAGCAAGTGGGTGGGGAGAAATAAGAAATGTACAAAAGAACACCAGGGTATGTAATATTGGAGCTCATTCCTGTACTCAAAAGAGAAGAGAAATTTAAAGAAAGGCCTAATACTGAATGGAATAAAGGGACTGATGCCCTCAGGTAAGACCCCACTCAGTTGTTACACAAACCTCAGTAATGACCAACACTGTAAGATTATCAGCAGAGGTGCAACAGTATACTGCATTTATATCCTGAGGGTAACCAACAGCTATCTAACTGGACTTAAGGCTCATTGAATAAGATTCAGACCTGTCAAACTACAGATAACTGTCCATGGAATACCCAGCCCAACTGATAAATCTACAAAATAACTCTTAAGGCTCAGGGAACATTGCAAAAAAGAGGTAGAAAGATTCTATGAGTCAAAAAACTGTCTGCTGTCTCAATCTATATATGTGAAGGAAGCTACATTTTTAAATCTCAACAATATGGTTACCTAAACAAGATCCCAAAAAACAATACCATCAGCTGACATGCCAATGTAAATGGGGAACTCTGACAAGGTCCCACCCATAGATGGAGAGCTACAGCCAATTAATGACTGCTAAGAGGAGAACCAGTCTTTCCCAAGGATGAGTTCCTATTGATTATCTAATTCTAAGTGGCCAGCCCTAATACTTATACATATAAACAACTCCAAGTGGATTCACAGGTTGATTTATATATTAATTCATGTGTGTGTGAGAGAGGGCAATAAGGAGAGAGATAATATATATATAGATATAGATATAGATATAGATATAGATATAGATATAGATATAGATATACAATTATTAAAGAAAGAGAGGCCCTGAATTTGAGTGAGTAGAAATACAGGAGCAGTTAAAGGCAAAAGAGGGAGAATCATGCAAATATAATATGCATTTATTGATTTTATTTTTTAAAAAAAATAAAAAACATAGAAACAAAATGTAAACAATTTAAGGCCAACAGATCTTCTGTTTACCATGTATATCCATGGTTAATAATTATTAAAGAGCAACAAATATTACTATTGACAGTAGTATACATGAGTCATTTTGAGTGGTCCACCAACATAAAAATACTTTTCTATGTTAAAGAAAATCTAAAGAGAGACAGCAGCAGGACTACTATCTGCTAATTGGTTAGCTTAATGTCTACTTATTATCAACACTGATAGGAATGCAGACACTCCATTTCAAATTTAAGATTCAATGCAATAACATTTTGTGGGGTTGAGCAAATTGTTCAGCAGTTACAAGCACTTGCTGTGCCTTCAGCAAACCAAGGTGACTATTAGCACCCACATGGTGGTTCACAACCACCTGTAACTCACTCCACTCCCCGTCTTTTGACCTCCTCGGGCACTGCATACACAGGGTACAGACATATAGACAAAAATACACATTCACAAAACAAATTATAGGAAAGAAATGAGTATCTCAAGTACCACTAGGAAACTGATCTAATGCTCTATGACTTAGTTTTTAAATTTTCTATGAAAAGTTTTTATCATATGAGTAAAACAAATCAGTGGCCAATGTCAAGCCTAACCAAGGACTGTAGAGTTTAATACACTAGCACATAATATTTTGTGAGACCAGAGACCAACTCTGCATAAGAGAAATAGGCCTATATTCTAGGATCTGTAGATTACATCATATATTGCACTACCTACAAGCTTCAAGCCTAAAAGAACTGTTTTCTGTGGAAAGAATAGCCCATGGGCCACCTTAGAGGCAACTTTTTATGAGGAGACGATGCCACACAACACAACACAGTAACTCCTTGAAACATGGGTCTTTGTATACCATATAAGGTGTACAAGCCATAGTGGATCATCCACCATCACTCCCTCAATAATCAATCCACTTAGGAAATCTGTGCTTCCTGACATCATCTTAGACGTTGAGGAATAGAGTTCTTAGTTCTCAAAGAGAACACTTTCACCAGACAAAAGAGCAAGAATTCTACTGAATCATAAGCTACTGGCATTGCCCAAACACTTTAGGTTCCCAGTGCCAAGTAAAGGACTAGTTGGTAGACGAAGCTGCCATCCTGTGAAGGATGTATCATCCTCATCCCTGAATTCAAAAAACCACAGGATACACAGGATGATTCTCAAGTATCTGTCAATAATTGGTGTACATGTACTTTCTACCAAAGCCCAACTCTCCTCCTATACACTGGGATTAAAATAAGGCACAGTGAGAATAACTTCATTCAGTAAACTATTATTGATTCCCAAGCTATATACACGAGGAGGCTGTGATGATAATGCAAAGTCAAGAAAGGAATAAAAGTTGAAAAGATGAGAAAAGTGACAAACTTTAAATCATACACCTACTACACATGCAAAGCTCTTTTTAAAAAAACAACTCAAGTATCTGAAACCAGAACATCCACATTGCTTTCATTTGGTATATAGCAATGTTATTCTGTATATGTGTACCTGCATATGTGCTCACATATCCATACATGTGCATGCTTCTGTGTGTGTGGTTGTGCACGTAGAGGCCAGAGGTCTACCTTGTTTTCTGAGACATGGTTTCTTACTGAAATCTGGGACCTGACTAACGGGCTAAACTGTCTGGCCAGTGAGCTCTAGGGATCTGCCTGTTTTCCTGCTCAGCACTGGAATAACATGTTGCCACCATGCCCAGCTTTGTACATATGTGCTGGAGATTAAACTCAGGTCTTTGTACTTATATGACAGGCATTTTACCTACTCCTAAATTAAGCTGGTTTCAAACTCTGTCTCCCGAGTATTAGGACTAAAGGCATATACCATGATGTGCACCTTTAATTGTTCTTTAGTAGGAAAATATTTACCTCTGGATTTCTTCTGGAAAAGTTGCACTGAATAAAAGGGTTTGGCGTTGTTCCTTTGATGGCATTCCCGGGCAAGAAATTAACTTCTTCATTTCTGGTCCAAAACCCATATCCAACATTCGATCAGCTTCATCCAAAACTAAGTACTTGACTTGTTTGAGACCAATCTTTAAGGATATTTTCAAAGACAAGAACAGAAAATGCATACTGTCTTATATTAAGCTAAAATACATTCCACAATTTCAACTGTTAAAGTATTCTTACAGGCTATGCTGGCTAGTTTTATATCAACTTGACACAAGCTGAAATCATTTGGGATGGGAACCTCAGTTTAAAAAAAATTGATGTTTCATGTGGGAAGGCCCAGCTCACAGTGTGTGGTACCACCTCTGGTCTGGTATCCTGGGTTGCTATAAGAAAGCAGGCTGAAAAGTCATGAGGAACAGGCAAGCCTTGGTAAACAGCATTCCTCCATGGCCTCTGATTCAATTTCCTGCCCCCATGTTCCTGTGGTGCCTTGAGTTCCTGCCCTGATTTCCTTCCTTGTTGAACCCTTTCCTACCCAAGTTGGTTTTGATCATGGTGTTTTATCATAGCAATAGAAATCTTACCTAGCACAGGAAAAAATCAAGGCATACAATGATAAATTGTTAGGCTCATCATAGATAATAGATAATACTAATACATCTGATCTAAACCTTTTTGGTTTTTTGAGACCTGCCTCTGCTTCTCAAGTGCTACAATTAAAAGCATGCACCTCTTGCCCAACCTGATCTAAGCATTTACTAATATTTCATAAAGTAAGTTAAAAAAACTAAAATATCTACATCAATACTTTAACCCATTAGGCACTAGTCATATGTAGTTTGAAACATGAATAATTGTGAAATTATTTAAAAAGATAAGTAGTAGCCAGGTGTTGGTGGCTCAAGCCTTTAATCCCAGCACTCAGGAGGAAGAGGCAGGTGGATCTCTGTGAGTTTGAGACCAGCCTGGTATCCAGAGCTAGTGCCAGGATAGGCTCCAAAACTACAGAGAAACCCTGTCTCAAAAAACAAAAAAAAAAAAAAAAAAAAAAAAAAAAAAAAAAAAAAGGAGCAACATACAGCTAATAGTTATACTGGAAATATGGATCCATACTGTATTATATGATGAAATCAAACTAATATAAGAAAATAAAATCTAACAACATGAAATAAAGTACCTCCTTTAGAGAACACAAAATCTACCACAGTTCAGTAATATGAACTTGAAGTATTAAGAGATATAATAACTGGGTATGAGAATCCCAAATGAATATCTAGCCATAAAAATCTCTTCTTAAAAGGCCTGAAAATTAACCACTCACATTACTACCATGCATGTGTTTTAACAGAAAACAAAATTATTGATGCCCCAAGGAATGTGGCTTAGAAAAAAATGATTTCACCAAAACATGTATGAAACTATATACAAGTATTCAATGTATTTTCTTCCATATAATAAAGTATTACTGAATCAGATCCAGATTCTAACCCTAACTATCATTTACTAGATCTAACTAAGGAATTTTTAAATAAATTATTAATCTCATTGAGTTTGTTTTCCTAGGTATAAAATGGGAAATAATCCTGTTGGGATTATCTTGACAATTATGAAAATGACTTTATAGCCCCTGATATAAGCAGAAACAGTGCTCTAGGACATACATTTTTCCTATTCCCCTCTTTCCCTATAGAACACCCATCAGTCTACCACGTTGTTAACTTTCTGAGGCTTACCTTCTCTTTACCTATAATATCCATCAGCCTTCCTGGAGTAGCACACAGTATATTACAGCCTTGTACTATCTGTCGGATTGAATGCCCAAACTGGGTTCCCCCATATATGACAACAGCTCTTACACAAGTCCTATAAATAAGACAAACATGGACATCATTTTCCAGTTATTTTTGGAAGTTATACACTTGTTTTTAATAGTTTATGAAATAAGACCCATAAAGAAAAGAAAAACATTCAACTATCTAAAATGTTAAATTCCATTGAGAAAGGAAACTTTATAATGTTGAAAAGCAAATAAAACAAATAGGAAGGACTACTTTGCAATTTGTCTGATTAAAGGGCTGTTAAACAATGGGAAGTACCTCTATTGTCCTTCCTTCTCCAATCACCTGCTCACAAAAGGACACAAATGAGTCGTGATGAGTTCTCCCTTAGTGCCTGTACAGCACTCTCAAGTACTATGCAAGCTGGCCAGCGGGGAGGAAGCTTCCTAGTCAGTACCTCCCTAGTTCCTCTATGGCCTGAGACCAAAATGTGTAGTGTTTTCAGCAATTTTCATACATTTTACTCTCATGTAACCAGACCTCTACTGCAGGACATTCAGGTATTTTTCAGCCTTTTGCCATAGCAATAACAATAAACATTCAAATACAAACATTCATCTTTGGTTACAGATATTATCTAAATTTACCAAGCTCACTTTTTGTTTTTGAAAAATGTTTCTCTTTTACTAGATTAAAAATCAGATACCAACACAACACACTAAGGATTAGCAAGAAACAAACCCTAATCTGAGCAAATTACACCTAATTTTTGCAAGGGGCTAGAAAGTTTGACAAAGAAATATCAATAATCACTTTAAATTTTATAAAAATAAAAAGCTAGTGGTTTATGCACAGGAAGCACTAAAACCACTAAAATTCCAGTGGATAAGCTACAGATAACAGATGGTTAATTCATGAAAAAACAAGCACTCAAAAAGTAGTTCTGTTTGATAATATGTGTAACAAGATACCTATGATAATTTTAAGCACTGACAAACTCTTCATTGTTCCATCTTTTCCCCCCAACAAGTATTTTTGTTATTTGAAAATTTCATATAATGTACCCCCATCAAACTTGCCTCCCATTTCTCCCAGGTCCACCTTCCACCTTTGCACCCTAACCACGACCCCTTCAAAAACACACCAAGTTCAATTTGTGTTGCCCATATATTACTGATTAAAAAAACATACATGAGTATGAGCTTTAAATTAAATTCTTGTTAAAATTAAAATCGATAACAAAAGCCACTCCAGGGACACTTAAAAGAGGGAAAAAAAACCAACCTGGGTAAAGTGGCACACATCCATATCCCAGAAGGCTGAGAGCTGAGGCAGGATAATCACTTCAGCTAGGGGTTCAAATCCAGTTTGCAGCAAAGCTTCACTTCATAAAAATTAAAAACCATAAAAATCCCCCATCCATTCCTCTGCGCTTTCTCCTCTCTCTCTCCTCTCTCTCTCTCTCCCCCCTTCTCTCTCCCTCCCCCTCTCTCTCCTCTCTCTCTCTCTCCTCTCTCTCTCTCTCTCTCTCTCTCTCTCGCTCTCTCTGTGTGTGTGTGTGTGTGTGTGTGTGTGTGTAAAGTACATCAGTTCAGCTAGACTGGCTGCCAACAAGCTTCTGGGACTCGCCTGTCTCAGTACCACCCCTCCAGCATCAGCATTAACAGATGCACACTATTGTACCCAGATTTCACATGGAAACTAGAAATCTGAACTCAGATCCTCATGTTCACACAACAGGCACTTTCACCAACTAAGTCATCTTTCTCTAGTCCCCATAAAACCTTTTTACAGCAAGACATTCAGCATGCTTTTATTTACAATAGTCCAAAGAAATCAAATGCCTTAAAATAAAATGCATATGCACACATAAAGTTGAAGCCATTATAAACAAATTTGATTATACAAAAATAGTCTTCCACACTGTGAAGTCAAAAAGTGGGTAATTACCAGGTACATTCAAAGTTCATTTTGTAAACATCTTTGGAGTTTGTGAAAAGTAATTATTTATATGTATATGTATTTGCTTGAGTTATATATATGTAGACTACATGTGTGAAGTGCCAGGGGAGGTCAGAACAAAGACCCACTAAAACTGGAGTTACAGGTAGTTGTGAGCTACCATGTGGATGCTGAGAACCAAAGGTCTCTCCAAGACCAATAAGTGATCTTATCCTCTGAGTCATCTTTTCAGCCCATCCAAATTTATTTTTAAAACTTATTTGTTTTTTGTTTTTCAAAACAGTTTCTCTGTAACTTTGGAACCTGTCCTGGCATTTGCTCCATAGACCAGACTGGTCTTGAACTCACCGAGATCCACCTGCCTCTGCCTCCTGAGTGCTGGGATTAAAGGCGTGCACCACAACTGTCAGGCCCAAATTTATTTTTAACATGTATTACAAACTACCAGAAGGGCCAGTAAGATGGCTCAGCAGAAAAAGGCATTTGCCTCAAGTCTGATGATCTGAATTTGATCCCTGGAATCCACATAGTGAAAAGAGAGCAAACAGACACTTCCAAGTTGTCCTCTGACCTCCATGTCACACAATGCAATAAATATTAATAAATAATGCAGAAATAACATTAACATATTTTAACTACCAAAAAAATCCAGGTGTGGTGACAGATACCTATAATTGGCTACCTGGGAAACAGGGAGAATTTCAATTTGTGACTAGACTTGGTAACTTAGTAGATCCCATCTCAGAATTTAAAAACTGATGTACTTGCCTAGCATGTATGTGCAAGGTGCTTTATTCAATCCTTAATATCAGAAAAGACAAGATACTATGTACCAAAATTTGTAACATTTTCTTATTTTACTTAACATAATTTTATTTCTTCTAAAAATAAAACGGATTCTATAAACAAGATTAAGATAAGCTTTATTTAATTATAATAAAAATTACATGAGTGTATTATTACTGAGTTCTCAAATAATTGAGAAAACTCTCTAAGAACTATTTTAACAATAGCATTCCACCTCTTTCTTACTTCTCTCTCTCTTACCTTCCTCTTTTACTCTCTCTTACTGTCTGTTCCTCTTCTCTTACCTTCCTCTCTTACACTTACACTCTCTGTCTCTCTGTCTCTCTGGTCTCTCCCACTGCCACTCCTGCTCTCCCTCCCTCACCTGGAATAAACTCTATGGTAAATGTAAGGAAAAAAAAGAGTAGCATTCCAGATGTACTTACCCAAAAGAAAATTTTCTGGCTTCCAAATAAATTTGGTTAATCAATTCTCGAGTTGGCGCTACAATAATACACTCTGGTTCCTGCAGTTCTTTAAAGCGACTGGCAGTTATTCCATCCCGCATCATATGAGCCAAAATAGGCAAAAGAAAAGCTGCCTAGAAGTTAAGTTGATTAATTTACAATATATCATTTTTGTCTTTGCCAAAAGTTAGTCCTATTTAATAGCCTTTAAGATAGCCTTCCATCTTGCTGGTAGGGTTAAGATGAGAGCTTAGTGTAACTTTTATTTCAAGGTCTTAACTAGGTCTTCATAGTCATTTTATACAACATAACATGTTTAATTAATCGAGCTCAAAATTAGTCTTTTAATAAACATATCTATGCATCCTAAACAGAGTGGCATTAATTATACAGAGGAATATAGAAATAATCTCATGCAAATTACTATATTTAAAAGTTATTCCACATGAGTCTTTCAGAGAGTGGTAATAAAATTATCACAGGAAATAGTGGTAATATCACAGGTTCTTCAAGCAGCATACAAATTTGAAAATCATAATTTGGATTATACACCCATTTCCTGAGGAGTACACAAATAGAATTTTTTATTGGTGTCATGAATTAAAATTTAACAAATAGAAATTCTTAATGAAATATTTTCAACTCTAGTTCAAGAATACTTTAAGAGGACATCCCATAGCCAAGTTCACCACAAGGATACCATGTAGGTTCGACATAGAAAATTTGTAAATATCTAAGAGCTCTACAATGAAAACTTTAATATACTGAAGACTGTCAAAGACTAGTAGAACATTTACAAAATGGCTGAATTACCTAAAGTATCTACAGAGGAAACACAATTCCCATCAAAATTTCAGTGATATTCTTCACAGAACTAGAAAAATAATTTCCTAAAATTTATATTGAAATAGAGCAACTATGAAAAAGAGCAATGCTTGTGGCAATATAATAATAATACCTGTTCTCAAACACAGAGCCATTGTAACAAAATCCATAAAGTACTGACACAAAAGCAGACAAGTAGTTATAGGAACAAAATCCATATAGTACTGAAACAAAAGCAGACATGTAAACCAGAACAGAAAACACAGAGATAAATCCACACAGCTACAGTTACCTAACTTCCTACAAAGGTGTCAAAACATACATTAGAAGACAGTCTGAATAAGTGATGTTAGAGAAACTGGATATCCACATGTAGAATAATGAAATTCGATTCATTATATCTCAAGCTGCACAAGAATGAATTAGAAGCCAGGTGGTGGTGGCGCACAGCTTTAATCCCATCGTCAGAAAGATAGATACCACATTTTATCTCAGAGTTTAATATAAATTTTGCATGTAAGTAGGACATGGAAATATAAAGAGACCATAACCACAAGAGGAAGGATGAGATTTTTTTTTTTTTTTTTTTTTTTTTTGGTTTTTCGAGCTGGCACTCACTCTGGAGACCAGGCTGGCCTTGAACTCACAGATATCCACCTGCCTCTTCCTCCTGAGTGCTGGGATTAAAGGCGTGCACCACCAACGCCCAGCAGGATGAGATCTTGATGGGAACAAGCAGGAAGTTAGGAGTGGGTAAATGAATACATGACATGAAAGCATAAGAGTGCCACACCAAATCCAGTAGATTCTGTGTGACAAGTCCACAGACTGAGGCGGTAATTTCAAAAGAAGGAAGTCTCCTAGAAATGGCTGTGGAACTCTCAGCTGGAGAAAAATACTGGGATGTGATTCTCGTGGCAATTTCTGTTTGTTCTTCTATTCCTTTTTTCCGCACACTAACAAAATGTTCCTAAAAGCCTATGCTGACATTTTAAACAAAAGAAATAGATAAGAAACCATCCCCTGAGATGGGGTCACTAGCCATGACCTCATCTCAGGAAAAAACCAGTGCTTTCCAAATCATTCACGTCATTCACATAAGTACAAAGAGTAAAAACTTTCCCAACAATAAAATTTCATATAGCTGTACATGTGTCATCGAAAGTGGGCTTAAGTGTCTGGTAATGAAAGCTCTTAATAACAAAGAGTTAAAATAGCTCAATACTTCAAAAAACTCACAAGAACTAGGTAACAGATATTAAACAATAACTGACCATAAAAATATATTAAGAAATATGTGGCTAGCCTTGGATGATCCTATGTTAGTCAAGGATGCTCTTATGTTTTGACTAATCAAGGACAAATTTTATGTTTTGATTAACCCTGGATGACTCTATGTTTTGGATTTCTGCGTCACTGTGCCAAGTAACAATAATCTCATATGTTTGGGTTTAACAAAAACATCCCCTGAGAAAATATCTCTATAAAAAACCTTGTTTGAGAACTGCAAAAATACTCAGATTCAAACTGCCTCTGTGTTTGTTTCTGTTTGTCACCACCAAATCCTTACCCACCTATTCTTTGAGGACCGTGGCAAGAGAAGACTGTTTGGAAGGAGGAAGAGGACCAGCAAGAAGGGGAAGAGGGGAGAACAGGAGGGAAATCCAGGAGAGGGATAATAGAGTATAAGATACATAGACATATACAGCATTCAGGCTAAAAAACAAAAAAGGAAGCAAGAAAACAGAAGCACATAACACTAAAAAAACTCTCAAATCAGAAGACGACAAATAATCTTCTAACCAACAGAAGAGATTCAAACTACTTAGGAAACACCAAAGTTTAAAAACAGAAAAGTTTGATAGAGGGCTAGTTGTATTTGGAAAGATAACTTACAGTCTTCCCAGACCCTGTTTGAGCACAAGCCATCAGATCTCGTCCTGCTAACACAATGGGGATGCTGTATTTCTGCACAGGAGTAAGCTTGGTATAGCCAGCTTTAGCAATGTTGTTATTCAGTGTCTGACAGAGATTAGCTTCTTCAAAAGTCTAAACAAAAAAGACAGCAATGATTAAATGATAAATTAGGCCCATCACATGCCCACAATTTCATAGACATAGTCCATTTAAGTGAGCTTTAAACTTTGTTTTCACTTTACATACTAACCAATATACCCCACTATAATTAAGAACCTATTTTTATGACATAGAAGTATTTCCCATAGACTTTGCTTATAAATACCTTTAACTCCCCTTAAACCCTACGAAATACAAAAAAATCTAGGTAACAAAGGTTCATTGTGAGGATAATTATTAACAGGGAATGGAAGACTTCTGCCATTCTCCATACAAAATCCACTTCCCAGGGTTAGAGAGATGGCTCACTGGCTGCTCTTAGAAAGGACATGAGTTCAATTCCCAGAACTCACATACAGGCATACAACCATCTGTGCAACTCCAGTTACAGGAGCTCTGATGCCTTCTTTTGGCCATTGCAGTCACTAGGCAGCCATATATTGTGCAGACATAGATGTAGGCAAAATAGCCATACACATAAAATCCACTTACTAAGACCTACTTTTCTCAAATAATTAGGATGTGAACATTTTCATCTCTAGAAAAAAGTAGCCTTTTTAGTAAATTTAAACAAAGCTCCTAATTTAGTACAGGAGTAGCAATGTATTCTAGCACTTTCTCCTTTGATAAAGCAATCCTACTTAGAATCAAGGATCCTAGACACTAAAAGGTAACTTTCATATTGATAGCAATGTAATTATTTTATCAATGTAAATAATACACTGACCAAAATTGCTGGTGGTGCATCATGTCCAGATACTTCTACAAGTATGGTATCATATTTATCAAAGTTTATGCCTGTTTGATAATGTGCAAAGATGGAGTCCTCATCCTCTGGTGGAGGAGGGGGTATATATGTAACTTTCGGACCTTGGAATAGAAAGGAAAAATATAATTTACACACTAGAAGTACAAACAAAAGAAAATGAGAAAAACTAAATAGAAAATACTATAGAAATCACTACTAAAATTTCCATTGCTCCAATGTTTTAAATTTAACCACACTTTTGAATATTTTTCACCTTAGTGAAATAAAACCTATACTCAGGATAATGCAAATGTCAATGCACCTTGAATATCACTGCTTTCTCCTCCTTCAGCTTCTGACTTCCAATCTTAAAGGGATAAAACCATAAAGATAAATGTTAATTGAGGCGTGACATGAACAGTACCACAAAGATCAAAACCTTTTCCAAAATCACACTTACTCTTTCCAGAGCCTGTAACTACTTCTTCATTCAAACCTTTGTAACCACCTAGTAAAGAAATTCATAATGAGCATCAATTAAGACACAAAGCTGTGTACATCTTTACTCTGACTATCTTCAAAGAGGAAAAGTCTTAAAATAGCAAGCATCTTTAAAGTCACTTCTTACAAATGGATGTTTGAGACAATTAAGAGGCACAACTCAGTGCTAACAGTGTTCATTTAATGTGCACAAGTCCCTGGGTTTGTCCATCCCCAGCATGAAAAGAAACAACGGACAGGAGAGGACTAAGATGGGGAGGGAGGTAGCAAGAAAGAATCTTATACATTTTTAAGGTTGTCTGGTATTCTACATGATGGTTTTATGTGGATTATAGACTACACTACTATTTTTGCTTAAGTCATGAGATCTTTTCCCTGGTCAGCAAGGAAATACTTTTCTAAAAATAACTAAAACTTAGGCCATTCCCCAGCATGGATGGTTTGCGTGAGGACTCAGATCATAGCCATATTTGAAATGACATAAGGAACATGCTCAACCAAGAAAAAAGAAACATGGGTCAAGTTTCCCAGAGTCTTCTCCTATTGATGTTAGAGTTTTGACAACACGTATTTACCAGAGCAGTTCAGAGACTTATATCCAGAATTTTCACTAAGGAGATGGTAACTTATGTACCTTCTGCCTAGCATATACCGTAACAAAATCCAATAGCCTCACAGAAAATGGCAAGTGCTTAGTATAAGGGTGGGAGGGTGTGTGTGTGTGTGTGTGTGTGTGTGTGTGTGTGTGTGTGTGTGTGTCAATTCGGGCACAATGAATTACTCTTGTCAACAAGAAGAATGGACATTGTTCCCAATTTCAAGTTCTCAGAAATCAGCTATGCTAGCTTAGCAATCAACCTGACCAGATTAAGGGATGCAGTGTCTTGGTTTCTTTCTTTTTGATGTGACAAAAGACAACTCAATGAAGAGATGATTTATTTTGGCTGAGAATTCTTAGGTACCATCCATCATAGAAAGAAGCTAAGGCAGCAAGAGGTCGAGGAAGATGCTCACCCTGCATTCACAGTTAAGAAGTGAAGAGCAATGAACACTGGCACTGTTTTATTCTGTCTACAATCCCAATCTACAGTATAGTCCTGCACACATTCAGCGTAAGTCTTGACACCTCAACTAACCCAGTCTAGAAAATCCCTAGACATACCACAGGTGTAGCTCACAGGTGACTATAGGTCTTGTTAAGATGCCAATTAATATTAACTACAATAAGTTCACTCCTTGTCAACTTGACATTTAAACACATCACCTTTGAGCGATACTTTCTATCTCTTGTCCCCATAGATTCATGGCCAAACTCATATTGCAAAATGCTTTCAGTCCCACTTCAAAAGTCCCCAAAGGTTTCGACAACTCCTGATTATTATTCCCAATACCCCTTTAGACAAGCTATAAACAAAAATCTGTGGACAATATGATTAAACTCGATTTTAATAAACTTTTTCTGTATTGAAGACTAAGAAGTCAGGGGCAGGTTGTTACTTTGAATGCTTTCAGACTACTGATCACCAAAACTCATTGATCTACTGATCTGCAAAGTATCTTGAGTTTCATACAATATTTAGATATTTATGCTCTGAGGAAAGAACTCTGAGAGGAAAAATGTCATATTTATTGAACTACTGTCATCTTTCCTTTATTCTTAAATCATGAAAGGAAAAGTATATTTTAATAATTTGTACAAATATCTCAACATTTAATATCTGCATGATACCCCATTTTATGGTTATATTAAATATTTACTAATGAATTTTAGGTGGTTTTCACATTTTACTTAATATAAAGAAAATGGTATCCTTATACATATGTTTACAAATACTCTTATCATATATAAAGTCTTACAAAGGGAACTGCTGTATTAGAAAGAAAATAACCTAAAAAATTAAGGAATTCCAATAGTCCATGTAAAATTCATACTTATCAGGGGTATAAAACAAGGACAGCCGGGTGGTGGTGGCACACACCTTTAATCCCAGCACTTGGGAAGCAGAGGTAAGTGGAACTCTGAGTTTGAGGCCAGCCTGGTCTACAAGAGCTAGTTCCAGGACAGGCTCCAAGGCTACACAGGAAACCAAACCAAACCAAACCAAACAAAACACAGCAGTTACCTTTATCCTAAGGAAAATAAATTTAGATTGCAGTAAGTTTAAGTTGACAGAAGTCAGTCAAGCAAGAACTTACCTCGTCCACTCCCACTTCTGCTTTGGAAAGTGTCACCATTACCTGTAAAACATTACATTGCCAACACCTTCAGAGAAAACATATCTCCCCACTTCCCTTCCCCTCAGATACACAGGGAACAGATAATTGTATTCAGTATAGAGTCATTGCTTAGGATTCCCTCATCCCTTCCATTTAAACCTTGCCCTTTTCCAGTCATTTTTCACTTGTGTGTGTTTTCCCATTTCACCTCAAACTATACACACATCATCTTCCCTATACCTCAAAAAACTTACCTTTGAAGCCAATGCAAGCCTCATTTACTCACGTTTCATACTGTTAGTCAACATGGAAAAGACAATTCACAGTGTACCAATTTTCTAAGGAAGGTAAAAACTACCCATGTGTTTTTGCCCACATAACAAAGATTTGGGGGAAATTGTCAGCTTGCCGTATCATACTTCAACATGTCCTCTTGCTCAAAGCATATAGGAATACTAATCTCAGTCCTCTTGCTCAAAGCATATAGGAATACTAATCTCAGTAACAGTGTTCATTTCTCACCTGAATCACTTGCTGCTGGTTTTCTAGAACCAAAAAGGCCACCACCACGCTGTGTTCCCTGATCTTGGTCATATTCACTATCTTTATTTGAAAGAAACAGAATTTGATTATGCTACTTTTAATAAAGTTTTATAATCATTTAGCAAATAAACCCAAGCCATGGCATTATTGGCTAAAAGATGTGTGAAATAGTACAGCAAGAATCACAATGTATATTTTTCTAGCTGTCACAGAAAGAATTTCTCTACAAATTATATACTTCAATTATAAATAACCTCCTCAGAAATTAATTTATTTTATAAATAAGTTAGAGTCAATATTATACCTAAGCAAAAGCCTCTCCCCACCCGAAAAAAATTAGCAATTTAATTGTGCCTAGAAACCACATTATACCATTTCACTGATTGTTCACCAAAATACCATTGCAAATCTACTGTTATCAGCCCTGACCTATGCAGACACTTCAGAAGCCTTTTTTAATAGGGCAATATATTCAATTTTACACATTTGTTTAATGAATATTAGAAGTTTACCAACACCATTAGTTTCTAAATCATTAATCTGTCCTCTATTAAGAGATAGATGCATGCCTACAGTGACTTTCTGAAAGCACTACTTTCTAGAAAATGATGTCTGTACGAATTTAAAGTAGAAAGCTATCTTGGTCAAAGAATGTATGAAGGGAAGAGCCCTAAAGAAGACCAAAATATAATGCTTTATAAAGATTTGGTAACACAAACTTTTGAAACACATTCCAACTTAATAATTAGTTACCCATGTTTCTAAAAATAATGATCCATGATATGGGTGATTAACTGGTGTCTGCCATCCTACTAAAATGTTCATATATAATCTGCATGGTAACTTCGTGCAATAGGTTTTTCTTTTAATCATTTCCTTCTTAACAAATGAAGCACATCTTATGCAATCAATCCACTACTAACTTGGTCTTCCTAGACCAAATCCTCCACGGCAACCTCGGAAACTACCTCTTCCACCTCTTCTGAATGGCCCTGAAGCTTCTGAATCATTTCCATCTTGATAGCCTATATTAAAACACACACAAGAATAGCACAAAATAACAACAAAGAAATCTTGAAGACAGTAACTAAATTTAACCTTTGAATAATTTAAACGGCTTTAGTGAACACTTAAGGAATTAACAGAAAGTTAACTTTTCAAAAGTCATAATGACCTATAAATGAAATGTTCTGCTTTACCAATATAGATTATTTCTATGACCAGGAAAAAAAGCACTGTTTGAAGAATTAAAAATGAGTAAAAGAAGCATGTTACTTGAATAGAATGCCAAGTTGCCACAATTGCACCTTTAGCTGGATTTTTACAATCTCTTACAGGATTAAATAAATCCAAGTTTATAATTGTCCTCTATAGAAAAATTGTTGGCACACACATTTAATCCCAGAACTCGGTAGGCAGAGGCAGGCAGATGTCTGTGAGTTTGAGGCCAGCCTGGTTTATAGAGTGAGTTCCAGGACAGGCTCCAAAACTACAGAGAAACCCTGCCTCAAAAAAAAAAATAAATAAAATAAAATAACTGAGCTAATTTCAAGTATATAGCATTTTTATCCCCAGTGCCATCCAAAATAAAAACTTTTAAAAATCTAAGAAAATTCAAATTTATGTACCTATTAGCCAACACACTCCTTAATCTGTCAATAACCTGCCTATCAACAGTTATAACCACTTAATAACTCTAAATTATTTATTCCTCTTTACATTTTAAAAAACCTATCAACTTTCTCACTTTTCATTAAAAAAATACTTTGGACATTTTTTCTAAGCAGAAATTATTTTCACAAAGGTCATCAAGTAAAACATGAAGTGTATATCTAGATTTAAAACAATTTAAAACTATGGACCTGCCAGCCAGCTTCAGAATAAAATGCAACACATGCAGCCTTGAGTTTCTTTTGCTTGTTTCTTTCCTTAACCATCTCTCTCCCTCACTGACCCAACCAACATCTTGTACTGTTTTACATTTCCCTGCTCTCGTATTATCTATCATCTATGTACATATGTAAGTAGCATGTTTAATTCTGTTGTTGAATCACAGAGAAGCCATTCTACATTTCTTTTTTTTTTCGGCTTTGTTGTTGTCTACTGAGGAACAGCACTCCATTACACAGGCTCTGTTATATTTGTATGTTCTTTCTACTGAGTTGTCTTCCTTAAAGACCTTGGCTCACTAGTTTCCCACAAAATAAACTATCTGAATCTCACATATTATGGTCTATTTTATGTTGTTATTGGGTAAAAAATAGTTCACATTTCTGTTATAGACTATCTGTAAACTGAGAAAAATCAGATTTCAAACCACAAAGGTTAAACTTCCAAAAGCTAATTTCTGCTTTTGCTGTACTTTCAATTTTTTATTTTTATTGTACTTTAATTAGATAAACTGACATAATTCTACAACATTTTCTGTGTTTCTTCTGGTCTTACTAAATGATTAATCTGCATGTGATTTCAATACATGCTGAGAAAGCATCTAGCTTATGATTTTAGCATCTATGATTCCAAACAGAATGTTACATGAAGTTTGCCTCCCCCAAATTTCTAATGACCTTTTTCAGAAATGAATAGTGAGCTCATCTAAATTGTAACTGATCAAGATACTAAAATCCCTCTTTTGTAAATTATGGCACATTCTTGAGGTCCTAAAGGAAAAATAAAAACCAAATATCTAATGACATTAAAGTGGAAGAGGTGGACCTTTCTTAAAGGTTTTCATGTCTTTCAGTCTTTTAAAGTTAGTTTTGTCTTACATACTAATTGTTCAAAGCATTGTCCTTACCGCCTCTCTTGGAAAACCCTCTGTTCCGAGTCTGAGTGTCTTCACAGTCATTATTAGACTCTTGAATAGAAATGTAACATGTCAATAGCATCTAGGTAACTTTAATGGCATAAGAGCTAAAGAACAGAATGGAACTTAATAGGAATATTTTTCAAGCTGAAATATAAACATTGTAATTCTTATAATAATTTTACTAAAAACATAAAAACATTGCTCAGGGTAAATTCCATATACAGAAGATCTATGTATATTAATATTTAATGTTAAATATATGATTGAGTACCCAATGCTTGCTCACTGTTATGCTAGACAAAAAAAGACAAAAAGAAAAACTTACACAAACAATCAAATGGCTCTGAAAAGCAATTCTAGGCTACTAGAGACCCATGACTGTTCTATTAAAAATGTTTCTTTTTCTGTGATTATCATTATTACTAATGCTAGAGAGTGATACTTTCTTAAATGCGTGCAAACTTTTCCTCTTTCTTTGTAAGTAAGTAACTCAATTACTCGATGGCTTTTCTGTTTTAATGACAGTACAAGAACACTTCCAGGGCCTCTCTGAAGAGTGGTATGAGGATCAATCACAACACTGAAAGTCACCCAAGTGAACTGTGTGAAAATAAATGCTTACGTTTCATTCTCAGAGTTTATTCTCCAAGTGCAGAGTGACATGAAATGAACAATTTTTCAAACTTTGAAAATTTTATGTTATCAACAACACTCTAAGCTCTTCAAGTTCTAGCAAAGGCATATTTGGGGAATAGAGAGATAGTTTCAAGGTATCTTTTACATGTCACTGATGTCCAGTATTCAAGAACTTTAAACAAATGGCATTGATGTCAAGTGATCAAACAGCTTACAGACTATCATCTAAACCTGTGCACAAAAGCACCCATCTAGTTAACATGTTATGCTTATATTTTTTAAACATGATCCTGATACCTAGCTGAAGGTTTCTACTTGACTATTTGAGCAAGCCTGCATAAGTGTTTCAAGACAGGGTTTGTCTAACATCCCTGTCTGTCCTGGAACTCGAGTTTTAGACCAGGCTGGCCTTGAACTCAGAGCTCCACCTGCCTCTGCCTCCCAAGTGCTAGGTTTAAAGGTATGTACCACCACTGCCCAGCAAGGATATTTTTTTAAAGAATCGTCTAGCATAATTTTCTCAAAAAGAATATTTTTGATAAGATAACTGGTAAAGAAGGAGATTTTAGAAAGAAGACGGACTCCGAGATAATGAGGTGAGAGCTAATACATCTGCCTTTGAGAAAAATATTCTATAGATCACTTTAGGACCTGGCAAAGAGAAGGGGGTCTTATATTATCTTTTGTCAATTATTCCCCTAAAATAAACCTGTATTTATTTTGGTAACTTTAAGAAGTAAAATAGAATAATGGCATTAGGAGAATTTGGACAAAAACCAATTCCATACTATTTTTCTAACCTCTTGTGAATCTAACCATTTATGAATAAGCTTAAAATAAGAAGTGGTCTTTGTGGATATAGACAATAAAGCCAAGCACAAATGAAAATTAAATAAAATTAAATAGTTGCAACCTATTAATTGCATGGTATAAAATGATGTCATGTAGAATTTGTGCACCTGCCACTGTTCTAAATGGATAATTCATTAATGCATTCCTTTCTTTCTGCCCTCCTTCCTATCTATTGGAAATACTACTTTTGCAAGGATGGTCTTAAATCTTCTGGGCACAAATAATATGCATGTTTTTTGTATTATTTTGCTGTGTTGTGTTTTTTAAGATGGGGTCTCTCCTTATAGCCCTAACTGTCCTGGAACTCTCTATGTGGACCAGGCTGACACTGAACGAAGAGATCCACCTACCTCTGCCTCCTAAATGCTGAGATTACAGGAATGAGCCACCATGCCTGACCTGATATTCCCATCTTAGTGTCCCCAGAGCTATGACAAGAGGTACATGCCTTCACACCCAGTTTTATTTTACTGCATTACCTTTAACCCTCACAAAACCATTTTCAATGGCTATAACCATCATCTTATAAACAGAGAAAAGGTTTTTTGGTTTTTTTTTTTGAAAAAGGGTTTTTTTTTTTTAAGTTAAATACCATTTTCAGACAACACCAGGAGGATGGTCTGGGTTTCAAGATTCAAGCATCCAACTCCAAAATCTCTGGTCCTTATCATTACATTATACCAAATTGGGCAAAGAGTCACAACACTACATGTGTTGCAAGCAAAAGGTGCTTTGGTGACCTTTTTCCCATTCCTGGATTTGCCCAAAACTTTGAGACTGAAAGAATTTGATTGATATGTGGCATTTTTACTCTTTAGCATGAACTAAGAATGAAATCAGAAATAGACAAAAGCAAAAGCCATTTTGGAAAAAAGCTCTCTTTAACATAATGAAAACTTGACTTATGCTCTGCTGTTATTTGACCCACCACTGCTTAAAGGACTCAATTGGGGAAAGTTTTAAGTAGATGGAAATGATCTTGATCATTACAGTTTCATTGTCAACTTGACTGAACTTGCAATCATGTAAAACCACAACTCTGGCATGCCTGTGAGGATGTTTCCAGAAAGAATGAAGAGATAAAGATCCATCCTGTAGGTGGCTATCACTACGCCATGTGCTAGAGTCCTGAACTGAATACAAAGAAAAGATGAGCTGGGCATCACCAGCATCCCTCCCTCTCTGCTTCCTCACTGTGAGTACAGTATAAGCAGTCATTTCACACTAGCACTGCCATGCCTACCCAGAACCATAGGTAACTGACTTCCTGAAACAAACTTCCTTCCTTAAGCTGTTCTTGTCACAGTAATGAGAAAACATAACTAATACAACTAGTACATAGGTTAAAAATTAGTAGATTAAGGCAAGAGTACTCAAAAGCAGAGAAATCTTAAGTGACTTTTCCCCCACTTGAACACTAATTCTATGTTGTGTATTTTCCTTTGAATTGGGGCAGGGTTAAAAGAAATGGTTGGATCTTATGTAATAGACTACAATCAAATTTTAAACCAGGTATGGCGGCTTATATCTAAAGTCCCAGCACTGCACTCAGGACAAGAGGCTGCCACAAGTTTAATGTCAGCCTGGGCTACATAGTAAGTCCATGTCTCAAAATCTTAAAGAGTTTTAGTGATTGTGTCTAGTTTTGATTTTTTACTTTGGAAATCAAAGCATATAATAAAACAAGCCTCCCCCACCCCCATTCTTCTTCCTCCAATGCAGGGGATGGAACCTAGGGTCTTGTTCATACAAACTACCAGTAAACTTCATTCCAATGTCAAACCTCAAGTATCTAATGAAGAAAAATTGCATTTATTAAATATTTACCACAAAATGTTAGTATTTTGCTTTGTTCTTTTACTAACAGCCTAAATAGCCCATAAAATGGCCTACAGTCTACAGAGTAATAAACACAGGCTTAGAATGAATACTTTAGTATCACTCAACTAGCAAGTAACTAGGGCTGAGAAGTGAGCTAAATTCTGGAACCCAATGTCATAAAAATTCCATAGACCAGTGACTTTCAAACAAAAAGCACATCAGAATCACCAGAGATGCTTTTTATATACAAGACCCTACACAAACCTTTCCAATCAGACTTGAGGAAGCTTCATTGACTTTCTGATAACATCATTCTACTTCCCCAGAGTGTCAATACCTTAGACATGGCTTTACTTCGAACAGAGACTCACATTTCAGCCATCTTCCTCTTAGGCTTACTTGAGTTTAAACAACTCCAGTACGTATTTACATGGGGAGGGAGGAAATTTGTTTTGTTTTGTTTTTTTTAAGGAGGGGTCTCACCATGTAGCACAGGCTATCCTGGAACTCACTATATAGACCAGTCTGGCCTTGAACATACAGACCCAAATGCCTCTGCCTCCCGAGTGCTGGGATTAAAAGCATGAACCACTTTGTTAAATGTATTTATTATGAGTATGCATGTGGGGGGGGGAGTGTGCATGCCACAGGCATATGTGAAGGCCAGAGGGCAACTTTCAGGAATCAGGTACCCTCCCTCCACCATTGGAGATTATCAGGTCATTGGGCTACATTTACCTTATAGTGGACTTCTAATTCTTGACTTATTTTTTCTACTACCTATACCTTATTGTACAGATATAACAACTTTCAGTGATTGGACTTTAATAGGTATAACTAAGGTAAGTAGGAAAGTACCAAATTAAAGGTGCCTGAATTCTTTATCTACATCCTTGTCAAAGGCCCCTATAGCTGCTTCATGAAATTGAGCATAAGATAACTTAGCACTGGACCTGAGTAAAATTACCAATCTGAACCTCTCTAGCTTGTTTCCAACATTAATTTTTTAAAGTTGCCACAAAAACACAACTTACCTTTCCAGAAACCAGAGCTATCACCTTCTTCAAACTTGTTATTTAAAAAACCTATATAAAATATAAAAGGAAACTTCAAATTTCTGGAACAATTTCTTTTATCTCTATAGTTTAAAAAAAAAAAAAAGTTTTTCAGGACTGGAGAGATGACTCAGCAGTTAAAGAGTGCTGACAGTTCTATCATAAGGGCAGGCAGGCAGGCAGGCAGGCAGGCAGGCAGGCAGGCAGGCAGGGGTTTGGATCAAGCACTCCATCAGGTGGTTCACAAATGCCTATAATCCCAGTGCCAAGAAGTCTGACACCCAATTCTAGCCTCCGTGACATGTGTACAGAAATACACAGAACATGCATATATGCGTAAAATGCATTTTAAGTCTTTCAGAGACAACTAGTTATAATGATCCTTCAAAATGAGATAAGCTGTGATAAGCTACAAACAACTACATATATAAACAGGATGAGACTAATTCAAATTATATTAAAATTTCTGCCTCTATCAAATCATTAGATCTAAGTTCATTTCAGTACATTTTATAATATATCAAATATCCTATACACCTCTATATATACATAGGCAAGACAACAATATGTATCATTGTAATCATTATTTACTTTCTAATCAAACTATCAAAAGTTAAATTTGGGCCTGAGGAGATGTCTCAACTGATAAAGTGCCTGTCATGTAAGCCTAAGGGCTTGAGTTCAATCCCCAGCACCACTATGAAAAAACCTAAAATGAAAACTGAAAATGAGTGTCCTCTGCCCTGCTCAGGGATACCTGAGGCCAGGGGACTGTTGATGGCAGCGGATCCCATTTGGGGAGATCCAGCCCACCCAGAGACTGCCAATGCCCTGGTACCAGAGTCGCCTCCATCCACAGGACTTGGTAGGCTTGGGCCTATTTCAGGTAGCCTTCCTCTGCCCTGCTCAGGGATACCTGAGGCCAGGGGACTGCTCAAAGTGGTGGATCCCATTCAGCAGGATCCAGCTCACCCAGAGACTGTCAAAGCCCCAGTACCAGTCTTGCCTCCATCCACAGGACTAGGAAGAGGAGAGACATCTGAGTATTAGATCTGTTTGCACCTACTGGAAGGGAACTTTGGTCCCGTACCCACCAGGAGAGGAAGAGATTCCTTCTATACCCACCGGAAGAAGCAATGGGAAGACAATATAAAAACACATTCAACAACAGAAAAACCAATATGACACCACCAGAGTCTAGGGACACTACACCAGCAAGACCTGAACATCACAACACAGATAAAGCAGAAGAGAATGATCTTAAAAACATCTTCATGAAAATAATAGAGAGCCTCAAAGAGGATATGAGAAAATCCCTTAAAGAAATGAAAGAAAGAAAAAAACAAATGCTAGAAATCAACAAATCTCTTAAGGAAAGCCAAGAAAATACACTCTAACAGCTAAAGGAAACAATTCAGACAGTTCAAGACCTGAAAACTGAAATAGAGACAATAAAGAAAATGCAAACTGAGGGAATGCTGGAAATAGAAAAGCTGAGTAAATGATCAGGAACTTCAGATGCAAGCGGCCAAAGAAAATCTTAAATCCAACAAATCCCTAACAAAAAATATCCAGGAAATATGGGATACTGTGAAAAGACCAAACCAAACCTAAGAATCACAGGTACAGAAGAAGGTGAAGAAATCCAACTCAAAGGTGTAGAAAACATTCAACAAAATCAAAGAAAACTTTTCCAACCTAAAGAAAGACATGCCAATGAAAAGAAGCCTACAGAACACCAAATAGAGTGGACCACAAAAAAAGGTCTCCTCGCCACATAATAATCAAAACCCCAAACATACATAATAAAGAAAAAATATTAAGAGCAGCAAAGTAAAAAAGGTCAAGTAACATATAAAGGCAAACCTATCAGAATTACACCTGACTTTTCCATGGAAACTCTAAAAGCCAGAAGGTCCCGGATAGGTATTCTACCTACACAAAGAGACCACTGATGCCAGCCTAGACTACTATATCCAGCAAAGCTTTCAATCAATATAGATGGAGTAAACAACATAGTCCATGAAAAAAACAGATTTAAAAAATACATATCCACCAATCCATCCCTACAGAAAGTGCTGTAAAGAAAACTCCAACCCAAGGAAATTTACTACAACCAGAAAAGCATAGGCAATCAATAATCCCACTTTACCAACAGCCAAAAGAAAAATGGGGTGGAAATCCACACACAATTCCACCACCACCATTAAATCCAAAATAAACAAGAATGAATAATCAATGGTCATTAATATCCCTCAATATTAAGAGTCTTCACTCGCCTACAAAAAAGACACAGGCTAGCTGAATGGATAAGAAGAAAGAATCCATCCTTCTGCTGCATACAAGAAACACACCTCAACTTCAAAGACAGACGGTACCACAGAGTAAAGGGCTGGGAAAACATTTTCCAATCAAATGGACCAAGAAACAAGTGGGGGTAGCAATCCTAATATCTAACAAATTGGACTTTAAACTAAAATCAAAAGAGATGAAGGAGGTCACTTCCTGCTCATCACAGGAGAAATCCATCAGGATGAAGTCTCAATTCTGAACATTTATGCCCCAAATACAAAGGCATCCACATTTGCAAAAGAAACATTACTAAAACACAAATCACACATAAAACCACACATACTTAGAGTGGGAGACTTCAACACCCCACTTTCACCACTGGACAGGAACACCAGACAGAAACTTAAAGAAACAATGGAACTAATAGAAGTTATGGCACAATTGGACTTAACAGATATCTATAGAACATTCCATCCAAATACAAAACAATTTACTTTCTTCTCAGCACCACATGGAACCTTCTCTAACATCAACCACATATTTGTCAAGATAGCAATCAACAACAGGTACAAAAAAATTGAAATAACTCCCTGTATCTTATCAGACCACCATGCATTAAAGTTAGAATTTAACAACAACACAAATTACAGAAAACCCACAAACTCATAGAAATTAAGTAACACCCAGTTGCACAATTCCTGGGTCGAGGAAGAAATTAAAGTTTTCCTAGAATTCAATGAGAATGCGGACACAACATACCCAAACTTATGGGACACTTTGAAAGCAGTGCTAAGAGGAAAGTTCATAGCGCTAAGTGCCCACATGAAAAAACAGGAGAATAATCACACTAGAGAATTAACAGCACAGCTGAAAGCTTTAGAACACAAAGAAGCCAATACACCCAGAGGAGCAGATGCCAGGAAATAATCAAATTGAGGGCTGAAATCAATGAAATGGAAACTAGGAGAACAATACAAATAATCAATATAACGAAGAGTTGGTTCTTTGAGAAAATCAATAAGATAGACAAACCATTATCCAAACTTACCAAAGGCAGAGTGTGAACATGCAAATTAATAAAATCAGAAATGAAAAGGAGGATATAACAGATACTGAGGAAATCCAGAGAATCAAGTCATACTTTGAAAACCTGTATTCCTCAAAATTTGAAAATCTAAAGGAAATGGACAATTTTCTGGATAGATTTCACTTGCCAAAATTAAATCAAGAACAGACAAGCAACTTAAATAAACCCATAACCCCTAATGAAATAGAAGTAGTCATCAAAGTTTCCCAACCAAAAAAAG